CAATGAAATTCTAACGGCACTTCCAATGTTATTATGTCCGTTGGATTTTTTTTTAATAAATTCCAACTGAAATTTCAACAAAAATATTCAGTTGGAGTGAGTTTTTCATTTGAATTTCTATTGGATTTTGACAATCCCAACAATAGGTTTTCTAACAGGAGTGGAAATAAAAATTATAACGGAAATTCTACGGTAAAAAACCATTGGAAAAATAGTCGTTGGAATCATTAAGTTCCATCTAAAATTTCAATAAAAAAAAACTCATTCAAACATAATATTTTTGTTGGAATTTTTGTTGCAGTCATTCCAACGGAACTTATGCCATTGGAATATTTGTCAGAATTTCCATTGGAATATATTGGCACATATTTGGCGTTTTTTCTTTACTCGTTGGCAGCAGTCATCACACGTGGCATGGCCTTAAACTTGCGGGACTAGTTTTGAAAATTTTCTTATTTTCTTATATTGTTATGCTCTTCTTTATTATATAAATTATATATATATATATATTAATATAAATATATTATTAAGTAAATATAAGACAACACTATGAATATATATAATTATTTATTATAACTATTTATAAAAATTTTAATTACATGTGGTATCACAACATAAATTAAATTGCACATAAAACTTACAAGAATCCAATATTATTAGTCCTTCCTTGTTTTCTTATATGTCTGATCTTGTTGCCCGCCAATCGTGTGTTTTTGTTTCTCTCCCACGTATCTCATCTTTTCATAAAGTCCTTGATGTTGAGAACTTTATTTCGTACGAGTCGAGAAAGAGGGGCATGTAGTAGTATATATAGGAGGAGACTTTGAATCCTAATCCTACTGACATTCCTCATGCTCTAACCCGAACTTATTGTCCAAGTCAAATATCACCAATTGGACTCGTTATTATTAGAACATTAATAATTTATTAAATATATATTCACCTTAATTAAGTTTGATTATTAATACAATTAAGTCCGATTAATAATATAGTCCATAATAATAGAAGAATATAAATATTCTTATAGGTCGGAAGTGTTCACAAGCAACGAGCAGCGGCCCTAGGCCGCGCACGCCCGGCCGGCCAACCGCGGCAACGCCGAGGGCAGCAGCGAGTATGACAACTAGAAGACGGGAGTCGAGGGAGACGGGAGTCGAGGAGACGGCAGACGACGGAGGCTGGCCGGTGGGGCTAGGCAGTGGTCTTCTCCGGCGGGTGTGGCGCGGGCTAGAAGCCGGTGGTCAGCGGATGTGATATGTGTATTCAGTGTGTGTGTGTGTGCGTGCGTGTGTTGTGTGGGTGTGTGTGTGCGTGTGTTTTGTGTCTTAATGTGTTGTGTGAGTGGTGATGTTGTCTAGTACCCACAAGTAGTTGGTTGGTTGGTTGGATGGATAATGGTAATGTCTAAATTATCCTTAATGAGTGTAATACTTTAAATTTTTTTTAGCCTTTGGATCTTCACTAGTGGCTAAAATTTTATTCTTATTTTTTTTACTGAGTACATTTCTCACCGTTGGATATATACGTGTGTGTGGGTGCAAAGAAGTTTTCCTTTGAATTATGTTTGTTAATGGGTTGATAGAGATTTGACTTAAAATTCCAATGAATGCGAGTGTTATTAATGGGTAATCACAATCTCAATTTGTACCTGATTAAGTTGATTATTACTGAAGAGCATGTGGCTATAAATTCTGGAGTTGTATCAGTGACTATAGCATAACTTCTGCCATGAATAACAAATAGGTGAACATTTTCTGGAGATCTATACTATACATGTTTTCTTTCAGAAAGTTAAAATCACTGTATATTAGAAAACTAGATGAAGATGTGACCAGAGTGGCAAATGACATTTATATTCAAAATGAACCACTTGAACAATCAAATCGAACCACTTGAACAAATCACCGGAGGCAGGGTATCAAACACGAATAGAACGTAATGTGAAGTAATAACATGCGAATAATAAAAATTCCTACGTTCATCAAGGCAATAACCGGTAAGTTCACTTGATTTTGTGAAGAAGATCATAAAATTATTTCCATTTCAGCGTAATACACAATGAATATCGGGACAAGAACACCAACAACACACTCATGGCAATAAAGTTGGAAGATCTTCCTCAAAATCAAGCCTAAGAAATCTTCCGTGTCCACTGGAGAATACAATGCTTAAAACTACATTTTTTATATTGCACTTAATGATATTTATGCTTTTTTTCCTTCCTCTTCTTTTTTTTCTTATCTCTCGACTTATCTTTCGACTTGTGTTTCTTGGAGTGCCCCTTGTCTGAGCCTCTCCTTGCCTTCCTCCTCCTATCTTCATCTGATTCATCATCATCAGAAGATTCAATAGACTTCAAGTGATGAGGCTTCAGGGGCCCAAGCAGAACTTTCTTCTTCTCCTCAGTAGCATTTTCGGACACGCTCGTTATTGAATCTGGACAGGATGGAAGGTATGGACCAGTTTCATCCATTCGTGATCCAACTGCTCCCCGACCCCTCTTAGCTCTGCCAGTAAAAGAAATATATTATTAGATATAGTTTCGTAATTTTTTGTTTTGAGCTAGTTAAAGCTCACATCTATTTCAACCTTACAATATGTCAAATCATATTGAAAAAAGAAATAAGTTGACATTTTGATAAAATGAGGTTGTTTGGACAAAAATATGATGAATAGGTTCCACAAAATTAACCATGGTCATTGGAAAGATCATATAAAATTGTACAACCTGCAACAACACACTGTTATAGCTTGTAACATATACATCTTATTACTTACATGATTTTTTTTTGGGGTCGTTTGGACAACATTAGTGACTAATATCCTTAAAAATGTTACTTAGCAAAGGAAGTTTTATAATCGAAATAGAAACCCACCTGGAATTTAGAAATTTGTCGACCTCATCATCCCTTAAACCTTCATCCTCCGTTGGATCAAGATTCTGAATATCTCTCTTCTTTGAAGAGAAAGAGGCAACTCTACATGATTCCGGTTCATTGCAGCTGCTGCTTCTACTCCTTCTAGAAGATTCACTTGCGACCTTGTAACTTCTATTTATGTTGCTTTCATTTCTTGCTCCACTAAGCCTATTATCCAGCTGTATCTGTTTCTCCCTTAGCCGCCACATCTCATTTACCTCGACAACACGGTTAGCTGTTGATGAAAATTTCAAGGGTAATTAGTGGAAAATTTTCGATTCTTATCTCAGAGAAAGAAAAAGCCGATATAAATCATGATCCGTACCATTAGAGATCGAAATACTCAAATTCTTCCTAGTGAGACTCAAATAATTTCTAGAAAAGTTATTTCTTATCTTATGATTCCAGAAAATATAAAAAAAAAAAAAAAAAAAAAAAAAAAAAAAAAAAAAAAAAAAAAAAAAATCCAACAAATTACTGAAAAATAAAAGATACAAACACATCTCAAGAAGATACTGATTTTTCACTCAACTTATACTCAGATATAAGATACAAACACACCTCCCCAACTTATACTCAGATAACAAGAAAGAGTGCCAACAAATGCACCAAAGTTTGCTCCTAATCAAGATTCTCACTTTACAAGAGACAACCCACTAGAACCGACCTCAATCACGCAAAAACCGAAAACCCACAATTTTCTTTTCAACAACGAAAATCCACGATGATCACTGTAATTACCATTACAAGCGAGAAAATCCGTCAAACAAAAACTAACCTTGCTGAACACCACGAACAGTTGCTGTCAGAAAACGAGAATTGGGCCTACTTCTCGCAGTTGGCTGACGAAGGTAAGCAAGCGCACCTTCCCTCTGAGCCTGCCTGCGCAATTCAGCTGCCTCCTTCAAGAGAATGGCAGCTATTCTATTTTCCGTCTCCAGATCCATATCTAAACCTTCATAACAGAGAGGCTCAGTAAGTAAGGATTAGCTAGCGCGACAAAATCTCCGGCTTGTACAAGCAATTTCATCACACTCAAACTTGAGCCAAAGTTTCAAAGGACTACATTAAACCCGAAAATTGTGAAATCAATTATTCGAAACCCGTGATTCCTTTAACCCTCAATCACGAAAATACTAAGAAAAATGTAATCTTTGCACAAAATTAGAACAGGATAACGAATCATATACAAGATACCTACAAAGCTATATAATCGGAGCTTAAGCCTTGAAAGGATCACTTCTGAAGTTAGTATATCAAAATATGAAAGAAAAACTGCAGATTTATACGCTATCAATGACGAACGAACAAAGGGTCCATACCTGAAATTTAATTGAGACCATTCAAGAAAGAAAAAAAAGTAAAAAAATTAGGGCTTTTCAAGCGATGAGAGAAAAAATACCTGAATAATGAAGATCGGACGAATTGCAATAGAAATTCAGATTCTTGAGTACAAAATCGAGGATTTTGAGGGGTTTGATCGTCTCGGATACATATCAAAGATGTAGGTATGAAGGTTGTGATTGGGCTTCGGTTGAGTGGACTGCAAAAAATGGGGCCCATTTTGAATTGAGTTTAGTGAAAGTGGGCTAAATTTGGGCCGAAGTCCATGCAAGCCTTCTGAAATAGGGGTGGAAAAAGAAAACCGAATTTTTCCGTACCGAACCGGACCAAAATGGTATCGTTGCAAAAAATAAGGTTCCGAAAGATTCTTTTTATTTTTGTCCCGGGTAAAAGACTGTTTTAAACAATGTCGGTATCGATTATGAATATTTTTGTCTCGAACCGTCTCGTTTGTCCCGTTTCAATTTTTTCGTTCAAAATAGTATATATATATATATATATATATATATATATATATTATTGTATTATATTTTATATTAGTATTATATTGCTAATTACATAATTACCAATATGTGACATTCAATATTAAATAGCATTCTAACTTTGTAATATTAAAAATAAAAAAAAATGCTACAAGTACATAATAAATGTACGTAGAGGTGTACGGAACACTCACATATAGTGGGGTCCATTTATTTTTTACTTTTGATATGACCCACTTAATGTGAGTGTTATGTACACCTCTATGTACATTGTTATGTACCTATAGCATTTCTTGAAAAATAATAATAATAATAACTCAATTGTTTAAGCCAAAACTAAACAATCAGGCCCAAAAAGAAAAGACAAAAAAAAAAAAAAATAAACAATACATTTGGTAATTTAGTTTTAAACACAATAATTATGTCACATCTTAGATGTTGGTGAATGGTGATCTAAATTTAATAGATCGGTATGTTTTTTTTTTATAATGGAATCAATACTCTTTGTTATTTAGTTTATGTGATACTTGAATCGGTGGATTTGTTTTAATTGAAAAAATTGAATCAATATTTTGGTTGTTTGTTTTAAATTTTAATCGAACCAATAATCTTTTGTTTAGTATAGATGTTTGTCTCGGTTGTGGACCATTTTGTCCCGTCCCGAATGATACCGTTCCATTTGGGACGATCCCGAACTATTTTCGGACCGATTGATAAAAGTGGGATCGGTACCAAAACAAGTCAAATCACGACCGTCCCGAAACTCGCCCACCCCTATTCTGAAAGGAAAATTCAACAAGAATTGGCAAAGATAGGATAGTTTGAAATAAGGATACTCTATAGCAACCAATGCAAACTGTTTGTTTTTATTTTTTATTTTTAATTAAAGTAGCAACGTATAACTGAATTTGTAATAATTAAATCGAACCAACCTAATAATGAATCTTAGGTCAAATTTGTGATTCAAATTCCTAGGGTTTTGATTAAAAAAATAAATTAAAAGATAAAAAGAACGCAGCGAGAGAGCATAGCATAAGAACATTTCCCGCCGGCACTTCACTCACTCACTCTCTCTCTTAGCTGCTGCGTTTTGGGGAAAAAAAAAAAAATGTCTGCAATTAATCAGATTGTATCCACTTCAATCTCCTCATCCTCCTCCACTTTTCTCTGTCAAAACAAGCTCAACAACATCAACAAGTTCGTGTCTTTTTTTTTTTTTCTTTTGAAATAATCTCGTTTTGTTAACATCACCTCGTTTTGTTAATCGAATGTTTCTGGGCATTTGTTCGCAGGCCATCCAATGTAGCGATTGCAGGGAAAATCGGCGTGGCGGTGAAATGTGTCGCCTCGCCGTCTGCTGAAAAGACTGGTGACCCATTTGCTTCATCTTCAAATAATTGGGTTTTTT